AGTAATTATTATTATTATTATTATTTTACATAGATAATTTTGCTTTTTATTTATTAAGAGAAAACATATAAAATATTGATCACAGCATTAATATTGGCCCAGTTGGATTCTAGGAAACTTCCACGTGAAAATTTACTTGTAATTCTGTGTTATGTTAATATTGTGATTGGATCCAATCAATCTTTATCGTTATGTTACATAAATTTACTAACGTAACTTATTGGATTCATTGAGTTGACATCTAAGGTTGTGCAAAACGTGTACAGTGATTTTATTAGAAATCAAGTTCTGCAGTTAGCCAATCATCCAAGTCATTGTTAAATTGCATATATATCTGATATCGATATTGTGTATCGGTATTGTACTGAACGTTTACAAAATTTTGGTTTCTTTAAAGTCTCATTAAAGTCTCATGAGCAATTGCTTTTGATATCTATCATCGTGTTATCTATCATTAAAATCAAAGTATCTAATTTCATAAACAATTTTTAACCCAACCTGTCTTCAATAAGAATTTATCACTCATGGCGGCGATACAATTGAAAGATATGAGTAGTAGTAGTAATAGTAATAATCGTTTTACTACTACCACCATCTCACCTCGAGAGATTGTCTGTTTGACGAAAAAAACCTCTGATACTGCAGGCAAAAAAGAATGCTATTATTATTCTACCTGTAAGTTAAGTTTAACTAAAAGATTCGGTCACTGCCACATTTCGTGACTTAATATTAATTTTTCATGTTCCTAAACCAGTGGGTAGGAAGACTGGGTGGCGTTCCTGTAAGTGTTTTCTTAAATAATCGTAAATTTTATTTTCAAAGTTTTTTATAAATTACTTATTCGATACTTAAATATATACATAGGACATGACTCCCGAATTTTTCCTGAACATGGAGGAGCAAGACTTCCTAACCCGTGACAGTGGCAGTATCGCTGTGTTAGGAGGTCTATGGTGGAGGAATAGCGAAGGTAGAGGCAAGAAATTTAAGGAAAAACCGTTTATAGATCAGGTTTTTCGTGGTGGCGCCCCTGGACAGGTTGATCTGTACTTGACAATTCTCTCTGCGCAACAACATGATTATAAATGGGAAGGATTTGTTATGAACAATGTGTTGTTTTTAAAAGGGGACGGTTTGAATGTGGTTGAAATGAAAGAGAGGTATGTTATTGCCTATGTACTTTTTTTTATTTCATCGTTATATACTGTGATTATGTGACTTTGTCTCAGGATATGTGGGTCATTTATTTTATCTCTAAGATCGCTTCATACAATCATTGAAATTATTATGTTATGAAAAATAATTTACTTTATATTTTTTTTCATGCATATGAAAAATTACTTGCGAAAGCAAGCAACGTTTCTAGTCATCTATACAAGCTTTATATATATTCGTGATGGTGAAGCGGTCAAGGATATTTTTACGAAAATTATATGATTCACTTATTCTGCTCTAACTATATTTGATTTCGAATGTATTCCTCGCGCTTTGCACATATTGCTTTGCGCCTGTGTTGTCATTTCATGTTTCTTTCCACTCACAGCCTGGTTGCCATCTTCGAGCTGGCGGAGGAATGCTTGAAGTGCAATTCTTTAGTTGTCTGCCTTGATAAAAAATGCCCACAATTAAGTAAGCATGTTTTTATTTACTGGCTTTTATTTATCACAAAGTTTTGCAAAATTTTAATATTATAATTTTTATTATTATTATTATTATTATTATTTTAATCAATAGCTACGCTTCTACGTAGTTTCTTGTACATCGGACTGGAGATAGTTTATCCTGGAATTTGGAATCATAATTCCAACGATTTTTTCCTTGTGGGAATGGAATTGTGATTGTCTATTGTTTACTTTTCGAACCAATTACATCTTGTATATTGTCATTTTTTTGTTGAAATATTATCCACATCTTTAATATCATATTCTTATTAAACCTTTGTTCCTTCATTCAGATATAACCGTTTCAATTATCTTTATTGGCATTAATAACTTGTGTCTTGTGATTATTATTTTTTTTTTATATTTTTTTTTTGTATATATTATCCATATTTTATAAATGATAGTTATGTAAAATGATTGCGTCATGGTTTTTAGTTTATTTTAAAAAATAGGTTAATACATCCACTCGCGAAAACTTGTTTTACTATTATTTTGATAGTAATTAACGGGCATGATAATTTTCTATATATATATAATATATATATACAAATCACTCTCGTTATAGTGAACTCAAAGCTAGTCTATATAAAATTCTCTTAATATAAAGCTTTCGATATAGTGAATTTTTAAAAAGTTTTTATTAATGGAACGGGTCACTTCACTATAACGAGAGTGACTTGCATATACCGTAGTTGGCTAGTATTTCTTTAATACCGGGATTGACCATTCTTCCGATTAGTTTCGACCCGAATATTTAGAGATATTTGATTAGCCATGCATAGGCGCCAAATGATAAAAATTCACCATTTACCACGTGATATTTTTTAAGAGTTAATCAAATCAAATTTACTTTAAAAATTTAAAAGCGATAGATGATGAACCAACTTTCTTGTTTTTGAGCTAGCTATGATCTTGAGTGCAATGGTACAGCCACATACTTAAAAATTATAATACTGTTAACTGATAGCCAAATTTTTAAAAGGTTTACTAGTTTTAAAAAAAGAATTTATATTACTAAAATTAGCAATCTAAGTTGACTACGTAGAAAAGTGGATTAGCTTAAGTGATCACTTGACCTGGTGACACATTAGTTTTATAACTGTAAAATAATTTGTACGTACTAATTTGTCAGCCAAGGCGGTCATCTTAATATTAAAACAAAAGTAAATTTAATAAATATATTTGGTTAAGAAGGCTATCTAAATATTAAAAACAAAAAATTAAAAATACTACAGTATAAGAATATTTTTATTGCTATGTTTTTGTTTAGTTAACTATTATTGCAAAAATAATATAAATAAAAAGTAAACTAGAACATACTAATACTACATAAATTCAAATATTATGCAGATTAACAGTTATATGATTTGTCATATCTAAAATTATTACTACGTATATAAAACTATATATAAAATTACTATAAACTTTGAAACTTTATTTTTAACTTATATATTGTTATCAAATGAGTTTGAATATTTTATTTTATTTTTTATTTGTATTTTATAAATTATTTTATTAGTTAGCAATATCTTTAGATAATATTATTAGAATTAAATTAGTCTTACTATTACAATAAGCTATAATTTATAGAAATTAGATTAATAGTTAATAAGTAATTATTATTATTATTATTATTTTACATAGATAATTTTGCTTTTTATTTATTAAGAGAAAACATATAAAATATTATAACAAAAATATAAACTAAACTAATCTAGCTATAAAACTATTCTTTTTATTTAATTTTAAATTCATTTAGCTACTTAAAGTATTCAAATACAATTTGTTATAATAACAAATTTTTTTTCTAAAAAAATATATTATCTTAGCAAAATCATATTTTAAAGATCTATAAAAGATTACTATATATCTATTTTAAGATTACTTAATTGTTTTTAAAACTTAACTAACTTTTCTTAGTTTTTCTTATAATCTGCTTGTTAATTTTGTTTTTGGTTTCATTTTATATTTTTTTTTCTTTAGCTTTATTTAATTTTTTAAATTTTTTTTTTGTTAAATCTTAGTTTTTTTATTTATTTGATTCTTTTTTAATTTAGTTTTGCTTTTGTAGTTTGACTTCTTTTTCTTCTTTCTAATATTAATATTATTTTTTTTTTTATTTTGATATAACTTTATAGCAAAATTTTTATAATTTTTTAAAAAAATTCAATTAGAAGATTTTTGTAAACTAGTAAATAGCTTTGTTTACTTTAAAAACTAATTTAAGAAGATTTTTAGTTTCTGCTAACAATCTTGTATTTGTTAGTTTATATATATATAGTTTTTTTTTAAAGTATAATTTTTATACTTGAATTTAAAAAAGATTTTATTTAATTTTTAACTTATAATCATAACTTTTTATTTAAAGATAAATAGAAGTTTTAGTTTTTTTATAATAATCTTTTTTACTTTTTTCTATATTTCTTAATAGATTTGATATTCTGCTATATATTCTAAAAACTTCTCTTTTATATAATATAAGATACAAGTTTTATTTTTATTTTTATTTTTTTTTCTTAGATAATCTTGTCTATCACTTTATTAAGAATAAGCTAATTTAAGCTATAAGTAAAATGCTATGCTATTTACAGCAAACTACTTTTTTAAAACTATTCAGAACTCACTCAGTTACTTTTCAGCACTAAAGTATGATCTGCTATAGCAACTATTTCTCTCATAAGAGTTTGAATTTGTATATACAAATTTCTAGCTTTTAGTCAACAAGAAGCTACTACTAGTCTATATCAAAATTATCTAATTTATTTTAAACTTTAACTATCCTTCCTTATCACTAAACTTTATCCATCTATTAACTCTAACAAAAGCTTCTTTTTAAATTCTTGTTTCTTTCTTCTTTCTTGATTCTCTTGTTTCATTTGTATAAATTGTATTCTCTTTGTTTTTCTTTCTTTTTTTTCTTATCTTTTTCCTTTTTTTTCCTTAGTTGTGATGTTGTTTTCTTTTTCCCATTTAACTATCACCTTATATCTGAGCTTTTATAGTTATTCATAAAAGTAAGACCAGAATTATTCAATAAAACTTATTAGTACTCTGTTTGCTTTGCTTTTTAACTGAGCTATCTTGCATATGTCAACATATGTTTCTTGTTTATAAGACTTCTAAAGTGTATCTTTCTGTTATATATCTTCTCTTCTGAATCTTCACTGTGAAGTGCTTTCCTTAATACACTTTCTTCAAGTAATAGGTCTAACTTTGTTAGTACTTCAAGGATTGTTAAATTTAGAGTTTTCTCTTCTAAGTTCTTTTATATTTTTTGGTAGATTTTATATTTTGCTAGGTAATACAAAGTTTCATCTTTTTTAAAGCAGACTATACATCTTCTACTCTTATATAGTTTGGGGTTTTTCAAATAGCAGATATCTTTTGTTGATAAGATATAATTGATATATTTTATGTGAAACATAAGGTCTCTGCTTTTCTTTAGACTGATATACTTTTTTCCATGTTATTTCTTAAGTGCTTCCCAAATGTTTTTTCAAATTAGCTTTTTGCCAGAGTTATCTTTTTAGTTTAAAGTAATGATATCTGCTGCTTTACTTAGTTCAGTCCATTTTGTTTCATATGTTATTACAGTTGTTATATTTATAAATAATCTAAGTGAGTAGTCTATTATTTGATCCTTCTACTTTGGTATAGCTTGGATATTTCCTAGTATTGTCTCAGGTACTTCGAGTATATCAGTTCTCTTAATATTTTCTTTAGCTAAATAGTTTGCTTGCTCATTCCATTTGTCACTACTATAATCTTTAATTTTATATAATAACATATTTAGACTTTTAACTACATAGCAATTCTTTATTTGTCTCAATAAGTTTTTGTTTTTTATTTTGAACTAACTTCTTAACTTGTTGTTACCAATACACTTTTTGATAGCTTCTATTGCTGCTTTGCTATTAATGAATATGTATACTTGAGATTCACAAGATGCTATTAGCAAAGCTACTTATATAGCTCCTAATTCTGCACGAGTTAATAACGGCCAGTTTTCTATACTATAACTAAAACTAATATTACTATTTATCTATTCCTTATTTCTAACTATCTAACTAACTTCTATTCTTTCTGTTTCTAGCTCTCTACTACTTCCTACTAGTACACTATTTGTATAATACCTAATATCTTTTCCTCTTTTAGCTTCTCATATATATCTGCTAGCTCTCTCTCAATTTTTTTATTCTTTACTACTCTTTGTATAATTGCACTTTCAAGATTATTTGCTATAATCTTTACTAATACCTCTTGATTAGTCTTATAATTCATACAAACTTCTTTTTCCTTGATAAATGCTAATAGTGATGCTCTCAGTATTGCTTCTTTTTTGTTAATTTTCTTTATTTTGACAACTTGAGACTCTTTTTCATATCTGATACTGACTAAATACTCATTATTATTAGTGTTTCCTATACTATAATGGTTATACTTGATAAATAAGCAGTCTTCTTCTGATTGACTTGTATGTTTCTAGTACTCGACAATTACAAATTTCTCTGTTTTCTTTACTATCTTTTCTATATAGAATCCTTCTCTTTTTTTGAACAACACTCACTCTCTTTTTCATGTATTTTTGGAAATAGCTTGTAGTTGAGTTTTTATTACTTCTCTATTAGAGCTCTT